GTGCATTGCCGAAGTAACCCTGAGCATTGCCCTATATGGCCCAAGGGTGCCCCCCCACCCCAATAAACACACCTTTAAGTGGATTATTGGAAGCAGTGTTTGTAAACACTTAGTTTTTAATATATTCATGCCCCAAATTGCAGGAGACACTAGAATCATTTAGTTCTTACTCAGAGTAACTAGTGTGGGAAGCTGGAGAGATAGCACAGAGGGTAGAATGCTTGCCTTGGATGCAGCTGACCTGGGTTTGATCCCTGGTATCCCATATGGTCCCCAAGCACCTCCAGGAGTGACTTGACTCAGAGCAGGAGTAAGCCTTGACCACCACCAGATGTGGCCCCCAAACAAATCAAAATTGTAGTATGTTTTTAGATTTACACTTACATAGTTGAGAATGAATTCCTATTTGTCTTTTTTTTTTTAATATGCTGACTGTTAAAGGATTGAAGGTTTTATAATTAATAGCCACTTGGATGGCCGCTTTAGAACATAGGCATCTTGAGGACTCACTCCTACCACCTTCAAATGCAGTGGTCTTCAGTCACCTGTCCTCAGGTGTGCAAAGGTTGAAAACCACTGGTCTGCTGCTTTGGTTGTAAGTGCTGGTGTGTGAATGATGTCCAGGACAGGTGCTGGTCAGCAGGTGAGGAAGGAAGCCTGACGAATGCCAGTTCAGTGTATGAACACTTCCACAGTTCCCTTCTCAGAGTCATTGGCTTTCTCCTCTAGAATACAAAAACAAGATGTAAGGTTGAGATATAAAATAAAGTGCTATCATTGTGTTTTTGAACTCTTTCTAAGGAGTACTGAATCCTGGGAAAATGCATGACCTAAATCTCTAATAGAATTTGGCACTTATTTTTAGTGCAACAAAAGTTTACATCAGTTATCTAGAAAAATTTTGTTAGTCTTTGTCATGTAACTTAGTACAAACTGATCATAAGAACAACTATAATTTTAATTAAATTAAATTCCATTCAAGAGTAACCTAATACTCTTCATTGAAACTGACTGTAGGGGTCAGAGCAATATTATAGCAGGTAGGGCATTTGTCTTGCATGTGGCTGACCCGGGTTTGATCCCTGTCAACCCGTATGATCCCTCAGCACCACCAGGAATAATTTCTGAGTGCAGAGCCAGGAACAGTCCTTGAGTATCTTCAGTTGTGACCTAAAAATCCCCCCCCCAGGCCCCTTCCCAAGAAACTGACAGTAAAAATATATACAGTAAGTACAGTAGAATTGGGTAGGGGGGCAATAGAGTAAATTTGTTTAAAAAAAAAAACCTTATTCTGAAACTGGAAAATAAGTATACATTCTAAGAGAAAAAATGTAAACACAAATTAGAAAGTTATATATATGCTTGGTTATAGTGGTAACGTAAATTAAAACTTAAAAAAAATTCCTGTGCTGGAGGAAAAACAGTGAAAGTAGAATGCTGAGATTTATAATTCCTTTGGACATGAGTTAAAAGAGTATGTTAAGCTTCAGTAATTCTGCTCTAAGGTGTTGATACTGATTTTTTTTGTCTGTTTATTGAAGTATAATTTATATACTGTAACATTAATCCTTTTAATTAGGTTGCATAGTTCTTTAAGTTTTGACAGAGATTTTTAATTTTCATAAAGTTGTTTTCAATAATTGATTACATTCCATATTTCAGCACCAATCCCACCACCATTACACATTCCCACCACCATTATTTCGAATTTTCCCACCACCACACAAGCCTGCCCCACAGGTAGATACTAGATAATTTTTTTTTTTTTGCATTGTTATGAATGGGCTGGAGCGATAGCACAGCAGGTAGGGCATTTGCCTTGCACGCAGCCAGCATGGCCAATCCGAGTTCGATTCCCCTGCCCCTCTCGGAGAGCCCGGGAAGCTACCAAGAGTATCTGGCCTGCACGGCAAAGCCTGGCAAGCTACCCGTGAAGTATTGGATATGCCAAACACAGTAACAACAAGTCTCACAATGGAGCCATTACTGGGCCCGCTCGAGCAAATAGATGAACAATGGGAGGATAGTGACAGTGATTGTTTTGAATAGTATGAGATGTCTGTAAGTTTCTGTCTCACAGTAATAAAAAAAAAAGGTAAGAAAAAATAGTAATAGATATGATGTGGCCACTTTTGCGCTTCTGGAATTCTAACATTTTAAATATTGGGATCCGGAGACATCTGCAGCAAGCTGCTCAATGCTTGATTCCGAGGTTCATTTGTGAGTCTCCGGATCTTGGTCGCTAATGTGCTTAAATGGCACCCGGAGGCAATTCGTGGGCATGACAGCCAGGACTCCGGAAGGGCAGGGAGACGGGAAGGGGCGGCTTGGCGTTTTCAGTCACTGGTCCCACATACCTGTGGTTTTCAGTGAATTTATTCTTTTGTATGGGGCACCCAGGATGAGTCCTTGAAGATCGGCTCGGAGGTGATGGCAATTGGATTCTGGAGGTTTGCAGCTGCCAGGGTTCATTTGGGGCAGGAGGAGAGTCAGACATTTGTTTTAGTAGGGAAAATTCTGAAGCAGAACAGCAAAGTGTAAAATATGGCATGTGAGTTTATACCATAAACCCATTAGGAATGATGTGGTGTTTATGAGAATTCCTGAACTATGTAGACCAGAATGCCCCAGATTCAATTTGCCTACCATTCTTTTCAGAAAAGAAATTGCTCAGTGCACACATCCGTGATTATATGTTACTCTGAATACAGAAGAATGCTGAGCCTTCTTTTTTTTTTCCGGCTTTTTCGGTCACACCCGGTAATGCATAGGGGTTACTCCTGGCTCATGCACTCAGGAGCTACTCCTGGCGGTGCTCGGTAAACCATACGGGATGCTGGGAATCGAACCTGCGTTGACCGCATGCAAGGCAAACACCCTACCCGCTGTGCTATGGCTCCAGCCCCTAAGCCTTCGTTTTCTATTTATATTTCTCTTAATCTATCAGTTTCTTAGGAAAAATGAAAATAGTGAGGAGTCTTAATTCAAAGGATTAAATGATAAATAGCATTAAAAATATAAGGTCAGCGTGTTTAGATGAATTTATTTTGAACAAATGAACTTCAGTAGTCAGAAGTTCTGAACTCTCAGGGGTTGGCTACCTTATACATTATTAATATGATGAGTCAGACAACATTCCATTGTAAATTATTGGAATCACGGGTCAGAATAAACAGCCCAAGTTAATTAAGTCTTCCTCATAGACAGCATGGAAGACTAAATAGAATAATTTCATGAAGAAATTAAAGCCCTAGTGTATGATTACTTGCACTTTTTAAGTTTTAGTTACAAAGTACGTTTGTCAAGTCAAGTGTTTGGGGTTTAAGTTGCTTTTCAGTGCATATGCTGAGTCAGGGGTCTCCATGGCCACTCCCATGCTTAGGTGACTCACTGTGTAATTATACTCGTAGCTAACATTTATGGCAGTGATGTAATAGGACATGCAGCTTGATCATAAGGGAAGAAGGCACAAGTGGGGTCGAGCGGAATTTACGCCCAGGCTTCTTTTGCTCTCTCCTTACAGTCTTCCCCATAGCAACATAAATACATGAGTGAAGCCTTTCTACCCAGGGAAATCCATTAGACACTCAGCACCTAAGATTGTTTATTAGAGGCTAGTCACATGGGAGGCACTCTTTGCTGTGCACGGACCCCAGACTTCCAGAAGGAAAGTAGGTGTTGGCATAAACTGCATTGTTTGTATAGAATAGGCACATTGAGCTACCTTTCTCGTTTAAGGGGAAGTTTTATAACTTGGAGCTGTTCAACAGACAAGTTCCAGATGCCAGCACAGTGATTATATGTAGGTCTTTCCAGGGATCAAAGTGTAGCCTATTTAGTGGACTCACAGCAGGTAGGGCCTTTGCCTTGCATGGGGCCGACCCGTGTTTGATTCCTCTCCCCCTCTCAAAGAGCTCGGCAAGCTACCGAGAGTATCTCGCCCGCATGGCAGAGCCTGACAAGCTACCTGTGATGTATTCAGTATGCCAAAAACAGTAGCAACAAGTCTCACAATTTGTTGTGAGATGTTACTGGTGCCCGCTCAAGCAAATCGGAACAACGAGAGGACAGTGCTATGGTGCTATAGTGCTTCTGAGCACATTCCTGAAATGACTCACCATTGTCATTTTTTGTAAAAAGTAAATAAATATTAATGAGCCACAGGATGAATTTGTTTTGATAACCAGTAAAATACTTAGACATTAATTTTAGGTAGCTAGAATACTTGAATGATTATCATGCCTTAATATGTTTCATACAGACGTCTACTAATGTGCCAGTGCCTGGTGTCAGTTTTAATCCATGTGTGGGAAGAATAGGACAGTGTTAGAACATTTAGTACATCTAAAAAGAATGTTTTAAAAAATTAAATTACAATGGAAATAATCTATTATGAAAGGACACTTCAGATGTCTCCTTTTAAAGTTCATACTGAACCACCCACTTATTTTTCAGATTCCATTAGACTTGTTTTTCTTAATGAGAAAAGTACTTTGTTACCAAGAATTTTGACAGAAAATTACTGAAATTCAATTGGCAATCGAATATTAAAAACGTAACTTCTCACTACTATTAGAATTTCGGATATTGTTTAAATTCGCTGAAATGCAGAAGCTGACCCAGAAAGTTAAGTGACAGCCAGCAAAACTATGAATAGCTGATTTATTTCATTTCATCAGCTCTAGTCACAAAATGTATACTTGAAACATTGTTTAAAAATACCCAGAAGCTATAACTTATAGATATCTTTTCATGCCTAATTTAGTCATTTCTTTTATTCAGTATTTATTTAAGCTGAGTATTCTGTATAACCTTTGTTGTGTATTTTAAAAGTTTTAAATGCTGCGAATCTTTTTTTCCCCCCTCATTTGTGATAAAATTAAAATATGTCTGGGTTGGAGTTTCCTGTTTGGGTTCTAAAGTTTATACCTGTGTTACAGCGTATCCTGGTTCTTCCAGATATATATATTACCTCTTTTTTTTTCCCCCCTCTCCCCAAGGTAATACTGCATTGCATGATTGTGCGGAATCTGGAAGTTTGGACATCATGAAGATGCTTCTTATGTATTGTGCCAAGATGGAAAAGGATGGTTACGGGATGACTCCCCTTCTCTCAGCAAGTGTGACCGGTCACACAAATATTGTGGATTTTCTGACTCACCATGCTCAAACCAGCAAGACTGAACGGATCAATGCTTTAGAGCTTCTGGGAGCTACATTCGTAGACAAAAAACGAGATCTACTGGGGGCTTTGAAATACTGGAAAAAGGCAATGAACATGAGGTACAGTGATAGGACTAATATAATTAGCAAACCAGTACCACAGACACTAATAATGGCTTATGATTATGCCAAGGAGGTAAATAGTGCAGAAGAGCTAGAAGGTCTTATTGCTGATCCCGATGAGATGAGAATGCAGGCTCTGCTAATTCGAGAACGTATTCTTGGTCCTTCTCATCCTGATACCTCATATTATATAAGATACAGAGGCGCTGTCTATGCAGACTCGGGAAATTTCAAACGATGCATCAACCTGTGGAAGTATGCTTTGGAAATGCAGCAGAACAACTTGGACCCTTTAAGCCCAATGACTGCCAGCAGTCTATTATCTTTTGCAGAACTGTTCTCTTTTATGCTACAGGATAGGGCTAAAGGCCTGTTGGGCACCACTGTTACATTTGATGATCTTATGGGCATCCTGTGCAAAAGTGTCCTTGAAATAGAACGAGCTATCCAGCAAACCCAGTGTCCAGCTGACCCATTACAGTTGAATAAGGCGCTTTCCATCATTTTGCACTTAATATGTTTGTTAGAAAAGATTCCTTGTACTCTCGAACAGGACCACTTCAAAAAACAGACTATCTACAGATTTCTTAAGCTGCATCCAAGGGGGAAAAACAACTTCAGCCCTCTTCATCTGGCCGTGGACAAAAATACTACCTGTGTAGGGCGGTACCCTGTTTGTAAATTTCCATCTCTGCAAGTTACTGCAATACTGATCGAGTGTGGTGCTGATGTGAATGTCAGAGACTCTGATGACAACAGTCCCCTACATATCGCTGCTCTCAACAACCATCCAGACATCATGAATCTCCTTATCAAATCAGGTGCACATTTTGATGCCACAAACTTGCACAAGCAAACTGCTAGTGACTTGCTGGATGAGAAGGAAATAGCTAAAAATTTGATCCAGCCCATTAATCATACCACATTGCAGTGTCTCGCTGCTCGAGTCATAGTGAATCATAGAATATATTATAAAGGGCATATTCCAGAAAAGCTAGAGACCTTTGTTTCACTTCATAGATGATAATTTGACTATATTTTAGCACTGTTAAAGCACGAATTGGTAACAGTTGTTTCATGAATGAGCACTGTTGTGATAACACCAGCATTCATTTAGCTTGATATCGTCGTGCTCTCATTGGCTAAAGCATTATAAGCATCAAACTTACAGGATTGGTTTCCCAGTATTTAATATAAATATACCATATAATATATTGTTTGTGAATTACTGAGAAATGTAATGTCATTCAAATTTCTAAAACTGTCTGCCAAAGGCTTACCCATTCTGATTTTGTTTGCTGTTGGGTGTTTGGGACAGAGTTTTTCAGCAGTGTCTTTATACTTTACTGGTTTGTGAGTTTTATACAATAGAAAGGTCTTCCCCATCCCCACTGCCACCCCCCTTTTCACTTCTCTTCAGGCTTCTCCCTTTTTGGCTCCCCCCCACCCCAACCTTTTCTACTTAAAATAGTCCCTCTCTCCTTATGGACCCGTGCTAGGTGGTACAAACTTGATGGACTTGTTACCATTTGCAGTTACCATAAGTGCTTTATCTTCTCTATGCACCGGCTTAAACTTGACTGTTGTCTGTTAGCATATTTTTTATGCAGCAGTTGGTCAACTTCAACCCAAAACACTGTTGAGTTTGTTACAAAGTTCATTTTATGAAAGTACTCTTTTGTAGCATGATAATTTTTAGAGCTACTCAAGTCAGCTAATGATCTGAGCTCAACTTTTTTTGGGTTTTTTTTTTTTTCTCCTCACATTTGAGGTTTCTCTAATCCACTGAAATTATTGTGTGCTAAATTTGGGTAACAAATCTAACTCATTAACCCGGTTGAAATTTAGGTCTGTCATCTTAATATATCCTGCAGTAAAAGGAAGCATCGTTACAAAGCGACCCACCTTTCATGCTGCGTCAGCGTCGTCCTGCTTGTGCTGATGATGTGATTAGGTGTAGAGAATCCGCTGCGATTTAACCTCAAAGTTTATCACACAACTTAATGACTCACATGGAAATATTCAGTAATTGAACTGCAAATCACATTTAGTTACAAAAAAAAGAGCTGAAGCATGTCAGTGGCATGATGCTTGCCAAGCCAGATCTAGGTCTCTAGGATAATTAAGGTATTTTAGTACGCAATTTACTGCCTTAGTATCAAAGGTCAGTAACTGTTCTTTCTTTCTTTGAGCTTAAGTATACCTTTAAAAATAACTTGCATGGATTACTTTGCTCTCAATTATTTGTCACAATAGTTAAACACAAAAGGTTGCAGTGCTTCTATTCCCTTACTAAAAATTAGTGTTTTTTTTTCCTTTTCCTTTTTTGGTTTTGTTTTTGTTTTTTTTTAAACAGCTTTGCTAATGCCACAGAAAGGGCTCTTTTAACTTAAGATAAGTGAAAAGTACTAAAAAAGATTCAGGTAATTCTCATTCAGCACTTTATTGTTATTCAGAATAAAATTTATGATGGCATATTTGCCCTGCAAATGTCTTAATGAAATTGTTCTGAATAAAAGGCTCCTTATTGGTTTGAGAAAAACTGTTTACCTGTGAGTTTAATGAGCTTCATCACTTGGATTTTCGTGTTGACTTATTTCTAAGGTTGATGGAATGTTATTTAAGAAGTAGTCATTGCACTCATGTTAGGATTATCTTCAACTGTATTCAGTAAAAAACTAATGACAAGTAGTAAAAATGAAATTAGGCTTTCTGGTTAAATAAATAATTGCGGTTTAAATAATTTTAAAGATATTCTTGCTCATTTTACTGGGTTGTAAATTTCGCCATTGAAAAAGTCAAGTTGAATATATAACTTTGCTCCTCAACCTTTTGATGAAATTTTAATATCTAATTATGGGTAAATTTGACGAAATAGTTAATTGCCACATATATTAAGAAAAATTTGATTTAGACACATTTTAAAATACCAGATGTTAATATTTTGCTTCTAACCTGTGATGTAAGTAAAATATGCCTGAGTTACTGTAACGTGCAAAGAAAACTTGAGAAGTATAGTAAATCTACCTTAGTTGATCTCAGTTTGTTTTGGGTAAAAGATGAACTATTGTATTTCTTAAGTGATTTACTGTTCCCCCTTTGTTAGGAGGGGAGATGGAGGTCTTGCATACTCTTCTAAAACAAGGTACCATCTATTGTTTAACAGGTGAAGTTGAATTGTGCATCTCTAGTGTAAAGAATTTCTTTACAAAGCGTTTTTCACCACTGAAAGTAGATAGCATAGGATGGCATAAGACTATTTCTCTGTCTTGATAATGAAAACGCTTCAGTTCAATTAGGATACAATTCTCTGCTACTTGCCACCTCCTCAAATGTTATTGTGAGCTCTTGAAAGATCTGTTTACTAGCTCAGAACTATCCTATGATAATATTTTTGAGGCAGTTACTAAAAACCTCAGATACTTTAGTTAAGATCTTTGTCAGAAAGTATTCTAAAATTTGTTCTGAGACTAATTTAAACAACATTTAAATTTGTGGGCCTTTTTCTTAACTATGGTGAGCAATTGAGTACTTAATGAATTGTACTCAGTTGAGTCAAATCTATTGTACCCCTGAGCATGGTAATGTCGTCGGAAGTAATGTGTAAGTTTTGATAATGTTTCTACCCAAAAACCATTAAAGACTTGCTGAATTTTAGATGTTCCACTGTATCACTTCTATACAAGAGATGGTCATTTGATTGAGATTAGATGTCAATCTGTAAAGACAAGTGGATTATAGATTTTAAAAAAGTCATTTTCTTATCCATTCATTTGACGGGTATAAGCTCAAAGGTTGCCCATTATGATTTTGCAGTTAAGTGATGGCTCACAACATAACAACTGTCATGTACAGTATTGTAAAGATCCCATCTACTGTGACTTAGAAAAATTGTTTATATTTGAGAAAAATAACTATAAAAAAGATAATACCCAGAAGAAACCTTAGGGTGAATTTGGCAGATATTAATATTCCTTACAGTTCTAAATAAGTTTTCTCAGAATTGTGGGCCTGATGAGATAATAATCATATTCTTGTACACTGTAACAGGAGCATTGTTGCTTGAAACTTGAACTATTTTAGAAAGTTAAAATTAATTGGTCATCATCTTTTTATCCCCCCTCACATATCACTGAACAACTAGTTTCTCTCCCTTTTTGTCAATTCCCATTGTGTATTTTTCAAAAGAAGTACTGTATTCAGATGCCAGCCAATAAATTGTCACACAGTGGAAAATGATATGCCACAACGTTCATTGTAAGGTTTAATAAAATTTAATTTGCACCGAATAAAGTGTATGCTTATTAAGTTTTGTTTTGGGGCTATACCCAGCATCACTGCTCAGTACTTTTTCCTGGTTCTGTGCTTAGGGGTTACCCCTGGTGGGCTTGGGGACCATATAGGGTGCCAGAAATTAAACCCAGTTCAGCCTTGTGAAAGGCAAGCACCTTACCCACTATACTATCTTTCTAGATGGCCTCCTTAATAATTTGTTTTTTTGGGGGGGTTTTCCTGGCAGTGCTTCGGGGACTATGTGGTGCCAAGGATCAAACCTTTGTGCTATGTCCCCTGCCCCTGATTCTTTTTTTTTTTTTTTTTTTTTTTTGCTTTCTGGGTCACACCCAGCAACGAACAAGAGTTACTCCTGGCTTTGCGCACTCAGGAATTACTCCTGGCAGTGCTTGGGGGACCATATGGGATGCTGGAGATTGAACCCAGGTCGGTTGCATGCAAGGAAAATGCCCTACCCGCTTTCCTATCGCTCCAGCCCAATTCTTAATACTTGATTAATCTTATCCCAAAGTGTAATAGTGTAATTGTTGAAAAAAAAAACTACTTGATAATTTAAAGCCAATTAAAACTTGAGAGAACATTTATTCTTCAGTGTGACAAAGTTGTTTAATGTACACTTTATTCAATCTTTTCCAGTAAAGATATGTTCCTGGCTTGACCAAAGTCAGCAACTGTGAGGCAAATGCTGTCTCCAGTCTGAGTCTTAAAAACTGATTTAGTATTAAGTATGATCTTACAAATATATTGAAGGTATGTTTTATAAGGTTTTTTTCCCCCCTTTCATTTTAAATGATAAAATTTAAGTAGATGTTTAATACAGAAAGTTTTCATAGGACCAGATAATGCTGTTCATTATTTCTGTTCTGTTATTTTTTTTGTTTTGGGGCCATGCCCAGTGATGCTCACAGATTACTCCTGCCTCTTCTCAGAAATTACCCGTGGTGGTGCAGGGGAACCCTATGGAGTGCCAGGGATCAAATCTGGGTCAGCTGGCAAGTGCCCTACCTGCTGAATGGTATCTCCAGCCCATCTTGGTCATAAATTTTTAACCTAGACCATAAATAAAAACAGTTACGTAGGCTTTTCCTTTGAATCATTAACCCATCTCTGCATGACACAGGCTTTGTCATAAGGATGTGTTACATCTTAAGGATTTGAGAAAAAAATCCTATGTCTTCAAAATAAACTGTTTCAAGATACTTTAGGTAAAGGTAAAAGGTAAAGGCCCTCCCGTTGATCGTCGATTTGCTCAAGCGGGCCCAGTAACGTCTCCATTGGAGACTTTGTTGTTACTGTGTCTGGCATATCGAATACTCTCGGTAGCTTGCCGGGCTCTCCGAGAGGGGCGGAGGAATCGAACTCGGGTCGGCCATGTTGGCCACTTGTAAGGCGAACGCCCTACCGCTGTGCTATCGCTCCAGCGATACTTTAAATGTTTTTATTTCTTTGAAAATTGAAACTTGGTACAGTTTTGGAGTAATTTCAGAGCTGTATAGAAAAGTGGCAAAATTAGTTAAATTCCTTTTTATTCTTCATCTTGATTACATGAATCCCACCACCCCCAAAACGTGCCCCCAAAGCAGGACCTATATAATTTATTTTGTATTGCTTGTTATGAATAATCCGCTAAAAATGATCCAAAGAGTTTCCTTAGAGGAAAGTGTGAAGATTGTTGTATCTACCCTGGAGCCATTAAGCACTTGTGTAAGAGATTATTAACATGTTGTTACAGGTTGAGCCTGTGTGCAAATGTGCAAATATTTATTTGATCTAAATCAGTTGCCTTGTGCTTTACATCCCCTCAAATGTAGTGTGTTACTCTTGGTACTGGGCCCACTTGAGCAAATCGATGAACAATGGGAGGACAGTGCAGTGCAGTGCTACATCAGTGAATTAGAGTATGAGACGGTGTGTGGCTGTGTGCTCCAGGAATTCTAAAATTTTAAATAGGGTGATAGAGCTGGAGTTAAGTTTTTAACTGGATGGTAACTTTGGGGTCTAGGGTCATCTGCAGCTTGTGGCTCTCTTCGGAGATTTATTTGTGAGACTCTGGATCATGACCGTTAGAGCTTATATGCCCAACTCCCTGTGAGCCTGGAGATTTCATAGACCTTGACATTTTTGAAGAGGCCAGTTACTTTGTAGAATGTTCAATTCAGATTTGACTGATAATCTTTTTCTTGACCTTACTGTCCCTATTATGTCCTGGGGAAGAAAACCAGAGGTCAGGGACCTCATTACATCCTGTCAGGAAAGGGGTTACTTCCTACTAACAATGACTTAATTAAGTGATCAAAGGTAATAAATCTAGTAGTAAAGTAGTATCGTGCCAGGTTTCTCCTTAGAAAAGTGGCCACTGAGGCCATAGTGACAGTACCGAGAGGTAGGGCACTTGACTTACATGAGGCTGGCCCCAGCTTTAATCTTTGGCACCTCATGAGATGCCCTAAGTCCCCTCACAAGTGACCTTGAGCACTTCTGAGTGTTGCCCAGAAACCCCCCTCAAAAAGAAAAGTACTTTTGCTTTTGCTCTTTGAAGTGAGTTAGTTATTAAACGTAATCCTTAATCGAGGAGGGGTGAAGGGCTGGGGCAGGTTATCTGCATCTGGTTTTGGAAGTCAAATTTAAGGGGATTGCCTTTTCACCCTAATTCAATACTTTTTCAGTATAAGCTTGATATGTTTTATTTCGCCTCTTCATGTTACACTTCGATATTAAAGTTAAGTTGTTCAGATTCTCCTAGCTTTGGACATTGGGAAGCATGCCCCTTTGATATGTCCCTGTTTCTCATCTTTACCCATTTCTCATCCTTATCCTTTTGTGTGTGTGTGTTTCAGTTTATATATACTATTTTTGTACACCAGCCTTAGAATCAGTCATTTTTCCAGTGATTTCTGTTCTTTTTTTTAAAAAAAAATTTTGTTAGTACCAGGGATTGAACCCAGGACCTTACAGTTGCAGGGCAGCTGCCCCACTGAGCTTTTCTGTTCTTCCCTCTCTACCCCCCTCCAAACCCCCGCCCCCCCGCCCCAGTCCCTTTTTGTTTTGGAGACAAGTATTTCAATTCAAGCTCTGTTTGGTTGTGCTTGTTGAACGTATACAAATGTGTTTGAACATATTAAGTATTTTCTATATCTTTGCTCGAGCGGGCCCAGTAACGTCTCCATTGGAGACTTTGTTGTTACTGTGTCTGGCATATCGAATACTCTCGGTAGCTTGCCGGGCTCTCCGAGAGGGGCGGAGGAATCGAACTTGGGTCGGCCATGTTGGCTGCGTGCAAGGCAGACGCCCTGACGCCTCCTACTTGGAATCCAGAACCACAGTTTGTTTGTTTTTTTCTCCCTTTGCCTACTTGTAACTTTTTTGTTAATAAGAAATGGTACAACTCCTATCATCTCCCATTGCTTTGCTTACTTTTCAGCCCCAGAGCACACTGTATTAAGTGTCAGAATGTCACAACCCTTGCAGAAATGTGTCTACTAGAGCCCAGTGCTATATGCCTTTGTGGTTACTATGTCATTTGTCTTTAGTATTACAAAATCTAGTGAAAACAATATTTGCAAGGTTGTTTATGGCAGCACTTTTTGTCCCTAACAATTCTTTTTTTAATGGATATGGTAGGCTTTGATCAAAAAGTAATTTGTGAGTGATGTGAGTTTCTAATTATAGCTGTGTCAGACTTCTGCTCTAAGTCACAGCTCTGGGCTATAGCTGACAATCCCAAATCAGAAAATGTATATAAAACCATGAATTTTAAGATGTTAATATTAAATGTTAAAATAGAAGCATACCTTCAGCCTGTCTTCACATAGAATTTTTCTCTTTCTGTTTGAGCTGATTGTCCAAATCTAACTATTTAGAATCTCTTTATTGTTTCTTCAGATTTTCTAGTTTTTTTGGTTAAATTTTGAAATTGTGGTTAATGAGGTAGAGTAAGAAGTTTCATTTGGTGAAATTTAGCTTCCTGCCGTTTTCAAAGGGAGATATTGAAGTGGCATTTGAGGATTCTTGGGAGTAGGTAGGGGGCATAATTATGGAAATCTTTTTTAGCTATCCTTCTAATGATTTTATTAAAAGAAAATGTTCTCTACATCAAATAAGGAGACATCTTGATTTGTCAAAAAAAAAAAGCACAAATAAAGAGAATTGCTGGTAACTTTCATAACACCTCTTAGAGTTCTGTACCAAATACTTTGGCTTTTGAGGGCTGACACTGAAAGAATAGTATTGGGTCCCACTCTCAGAACTTAAACCTCTCCAACCTGCTCCTCAAAAATTAGGGAAAGGGTCTGTGATAGAAGTGAACTAAATCTAGGAGAATTTATCAAATGTATTCATATGTTCAATAAAATTTATGCCCATCAAGCACTATTTAGTGTGCCAGAGATATAAAGATGATTATCATGATGCTGTCAGGGAAGATTGAAGTGCAAGGGGCCGGAAAGCACAGCAGGCAGGGCACTTGCTTTGCATCTAGCCAGGCTGCCTACTGTGTTCGATCCCCAGAATCCCAGATAGTCCCCTCTACATCACCAGGAGTACTTCCCGAGTGTAAAGCCTGGTATAACTCCTGAGCACAGCTGAGTGTTGCTCCCCACCCCCCCAAAAATTGAAGTGATATTTTGGAGGAGGCGAACATTTTTTGTGTGTATTCTGGAGGGCGGAGGATTTTTCTGACTTCTAGGTTTAATTAAGAATTGAGCTAGGGGGCTGGAGCAATAGCACAGTGGGTAGGGCATTTGCCTTACACGCGGCCAACCCGGGTTTGAATCCCAGCATCCCATATAATCCTCTGAGCACTGTCAGGGGTAATTCCTGAGTGCAGAGCCAGTAGTAACCCCTGTGCATTGCCAGGTGTGACCCAGAAAGAAAAAAAAAATTGAGCTAGGCTGGAGAGTAGTACCTCAATGGGTTGAGGACATACTTTGCATCTTCGCATGTGGGAGACATGAGTTCAGTCCCTGTTACTACACGGCCCCCTGGGTACTGC